ATATTTGAAATCAGTCAATCAATTTCAAATATTTGATTTTTTTTATTTGACAAACAAATATTCAAATATTCTATTTTAAATGGAAACCTTATCATATATTATTATAATTCCATATTTTTGAGTTTGTAAATCATCTAGAAAATTAAATGGAATTAGTATCTGTAAGCTTTATAACTGGTCTTATTTTAAACTAATATCATTTGAACTTATTTTAAAAAAGTCTGGCATTTTTTCATATTGCGATATCATAAGTATACTGTAGATTCTTTAGACTTTTTAAAAGAAATGATTTAATATTTGGTTTTTGTTAGAAAAAAATATTAATAAAGTATTTTATGTAATTTACACATCACATAACTTGTTCTCTTGATCTATTATCTGCAGAGTAAGAAAAATAACTCAAATTAATTTTGCAAAAAATAAAATGATAGATTTTTTCTGAGATATATGAAGAAAAAAGAGAATACTTCTGATATTTTCTGAATTACAAAATGTTTTGAACCAATAAATAATTTTTGGTTTGGTGATGCTGGTTCAGGTAAATTGAATTTGTCAGAATTATTGTTTTTAACTTATTTTTCTAAAAATAAAAATGCTGATAAATGGTTTAAAAGAAATAGAAATGAAAATAAAATAATAGTAATGAATGAATTAAATCCTAAATACATTCATTGGGAAGATTTATTATATATTACATCACAAGATCGAGCTTCAATTGATATTAAATATGGGAAAAATGAATTTTTGAATTTTATTTATAATGTATTTAATTCAAATATTGAATTTGATAAGATATTTAATGATTTTAGCGAATTTGTAATAACTAAAGATAGTAGAAAATATACAAATCTTCAATCAAGAGAAGCATTGATGAGAAAATTTCAAAAACCAGTAGGTTATATTATTAATTTTAAAGGAAGTTATTGTAATAAAGAAAACGTTAGACATTTATTTGATGATGAAAAATATATAATAAAAAAGAAAAAATAATGATGATTATTCCTTTTCAGGTAATTTATTATTACATTTATTTTATTGTATTTATTTTTTAATATATTTTTTATTTAGATAAACAAAATTGTATTGAATTAGATGATTTTATAAAAAATGAAGTGTACTAAATGTAAAAAAGAAAAAGAAAATGATAATTGCAAAACATGTTTAAGTTGTCGTGATAAAAGAAAAGAAAATTACCAAAAAATTAAACAAGATAAGAAAGAAGAAGAGGAATTACAATTATTAAAAAAAGAAATAGAAAATGATCTAAAATACATGAACCCATTTTAGAAGGAAGAAGAATTTGAAAATTTAGGAATTTTTCTATTGAATTATTTTCAGAATATAAATTTGTATTAAAACGAAGAAAAGAATTATATAATGTACTTTGTCCAATCGATAGAAATTTAGAGAATGAAAGTGATTGTATTGATAATAAAATTGAATTAAGATTAAATAAAGGAAAAGAAAAAATATTAAATTTACGTAAAAAATATAGAGAAATCGATAATAAAATTAAATCATATGAAGAAGTAAAAAATTTGATGATTGGAATAATAATGAGAAGTTTTTTGACGAATTTTTGAGTACAAGAATGAATTACAAATTACTAAACTAGGTAACGGGAACCGTTAGGAGCGTCCGAAGCGTTAATCAACATAAAGATAACCTTAATACTGTTTATTTATAA